AAGCAAAAAACATGTTGATGTCCTCTTTAACACCTCCCACATTTGCATACGTTTATCCAGAAAAATGGTGTTGCAGCGAACAAAAAAAGATGGTAATCTAATGGTGCCATATCTGGAGAATATGGTGGGTGGGGGAGAACTTCCCAACCTAACTCCATAATCTTTTGTTGCATCAACCATGCCACATGTAGATGTGCATTGTTGTGGAGAAGAACAACACCTTTCTGATTGAGTGAAGGGCGGTTCTGATGAAGGGCTTGATTTAAATATTCCAGTTGCTGACTATAGATTTCTGCATTGACAGTTCACTGTGGACTGAGGAGTTTGAAATGAATTATTCCTTTGATGTCCCATCAAATGCAAAACATCATTTTCTGTGAATGGAGTCCAGGTTTTGGGGTGAGAAATGGTTTTTGTGTAGGACTGAGCCATTGTTTTTGGTGTTTAATATTCACATAGAGAATCCATTTTTCATCACTAGTGACAATTATGTCCAAAAATGGTTCACACGCTTTACACACCAGAAGAGATGAAGCAACATTCACACGTTGGAAATGATGATCATCGGAGAGTTCGTGATACACCCAAACACCTTCTCTATGGAGTTTTCCCATATTCCTTAAATGTTTATGTACTGTTTCATGAGAGACATGCAATTTCAGGGCCATTTCATGAGTGTGTTGCCTTGGGTAAGACTCAACAAGTGTCTTCAGAGCATCATTATCAATTCCAACATGTTGGCCCCTGCCATCACAGTTTTTAAAGCTGAAGTCACCTGAACGAAATTTGCTGAACCATCGTTGACACTTACGAACGTTCAAAACGTTTCCATAAATTTCTTTGATATTCTTTGTGGCTACAGAGGCGTTATTTCCCTTCTTGTATTCAAACAGCATTACATGCCGAATGTGTCTCTCGTCGCGTGCTATCACTATATGGGATTAGAATATACTAAACTTTACACATTATATCGGATACACTAACGTGACGTTTAGGCGGTTCGTTTCACTATTATACATGATGTACATTTTTTGGGAGGTGGTTAATCAAAGAGTTCCAAAATGCGATATTAATTTTTTGATGACCTAATATATCTATAATACAGAAGTAATACAGAACTTTCTTTCAAAATGATGACTACAGTTTGAATACTTTTAAATGCACTAAAAGTGTGGAAATAGAAGTAATTTTTTTTTATCAAGATTTATGAAGTTTATTGAAAATATCAATTAACACATTTCAATCTTTCAAAATTTGAAAAATTATAATTTAATATTTTTTTACTTTTCATCTTTAGAATGGGCCACATGGGTTTTGTTTTGCCAAATTCACAATGACTTCACCATTGCGAAATGTGGGCTTTACTAACACCTCCAAAAGTTATAGTAATCAACAATCACGAGCTGTTTCCACAGGTAAAAGTTTATGTACAAGAACAGGTTCAGAGAAGATGGTCTTTACCTCTCTTCCATCATCCTATCAACTCACCCATTCTGGTGGTTCTGTTGATCAGGGCCATGGTAACTTGACAGACAGTGGAAATGGGAGTGTCTGTTCCAATTCAAGCAGCAGTCGAGTTGCGCATATGGCAGCTTTATTCTCAGATAGAGAGAAGCTAGAAGGAATTCTTGTGCCGGTAACAACAAAAAAAGTTATAAGTTCACAAGTACAAAAACAAGGATCTAGAACTTCAAATGAACTGGGTAAATGATTCTACTTCTAATCTTTCCATTAGGCTTTGAGATTTAATAATTTTTATATAGTTATGAAGTATTTTTTACTGTTTCACCATTTGTTTTTTATGGGATATATCTTTTTTTCTCTAATTGTCATTTTTATTGATATTTGAACAATTTGTTTAAATATTTACTTAATTATGCTGTGTGTGTAAAAATTTTAGATAAGTTCTGAGACGATACACATCTGTTCACACAGAAAGCTATCTACCCTTTGTGTCTGCCTTAGAGATTTGCATGTCATTAGCCTTTAGGCAACTATCACCTAAACTCACAAGATTTCTTGTGATCTGCACCACTGCATTATGACATTATTATGCAGTAAAAGCCCTTTACCAATAGAAGGGTCACACAACCTCTTCATTCTTTTTTCTCATCACTGAATGTATTAGACGTGTTTTGTTTTGCTCATAATTTACAGAGACTTGTTGTCTAATCAAGAGACTTTGTTTTCTTTTTTTCATCCAACTATGAATTTTCAAGTTTATGTAACTTCACAATGTGGTGTGAGTGAGGAATATCCTCACACTAGTCAAATTTCTAACTTGGCTACAGGAAGATTGTTAAACGTGGATGAAATGATGCCCATTGTGCATAGGGTAGTGGGTTTCATTGTGCAGCCAAGAGTTTTGATGCCTGTCCATTCATCTGAAATTCCTTCCCCTCATTCTGATAGGGGGGAATGAAGAGGAAGATGAGTTTGACTATTTGTTTCCTCCTACTGGTTATGACTTAGGAACCTTTCTTCCTGTTGACAAGAATTTTTAGACTGCTTCACATTATCAAGGACCTTATCACTCAGATATGTTCTTATGACACTTCTCCTTCATAACCATCACCCTAAGGAATTTTTTTCCCTTCTCCTGATATTGGTGTTCACGCTACTTCCTTTTTAGATGCATTCAGTTCTTGCAATCTTATGCCTTGTCCTCCTCACCTTTCTGATTCCTTAACTCAATGACTACCGGCTACTAACTTTCTTAGTAGGCAATGCAAGTCTTGCTATATTTCATTCCAACAATAAAACTAGTGGACGAATATGTTCGAAAAGTTCATAAGTACTTTAACAAATGTAGGTAGTTTAAGAAACATAAAGCCTATTACTTTTAATAAATTTAGTTTTTTTGCATTATGATCTTTAATATCTTGGAAAATAACATTAGGAAATCGTATTTATAAGAAATGATTACAATATTTATATTTGCTACAGATTTGAACTTATTACTTTTAATGTTTTAGTACATTATTTTGAAATCCCCAAAAAATTGTATCCTCCATAAAATGCAAATTTTATCTATTTATAATTTTTTTAATAATCACCTATACTTCTTATGGTATTTAAGTATTTAATTTAAGTATTTTTAACTAGGATTTCATGTTTATATATGTACATAAAAACATTTTAATTGTGTTTCGTGAATATATTTTTATTTCAAATTTATGTTTATGTTTCATTGCAGTCATACTTTTGTGTTTATTGTGCCGAATAAACCGTGGGGTCAGCAGCGTGAACTTTGTATGTTGTCCATAAACTATCTCACCCCTTTTGGTGGTCACTCTCGTTCAACCAAGCGCATGCGCATTTGAACGTTACTGTATATATGATAGTAAGAAAGCTTTTCGGGACTTGAATATCATTTCTTTGAACTTTCAAACAAGTTTATTTCAACATATGTCCGTGTATGTTGTTTCAGAATAGAGACAAAACTAATTGTCACTACTAACAAATGTATGTAACAGTTTATAGTACAGGTGGTTTCAATAAACACCGCCTGAGCCTGACCCCTTGTTACTTGATACATCCTGTTAGAAGAGATTACCAAACGATACAGACACCATAAATTACAAAGAAAATTACTTTACAGCATTTAAAAGATTAGTCCTGGTCACATTCCTCTCATTACAGGATTTATGTTGGAATGCGAAACTTAAGCTCTTCAATGTATTGAGACCCCAACTGTGAGAATGTCATAGCTTCCCAGTATTATTGGGATGAATGTATTTAGTCTGTTTCACAACCAACATATGGGATTTATTGTTGTCACTACTGAGTTTGAACCATTTGCAAAATATCAGAATAAACTAT